AGAGGAATTTAACGGAGGAAAGCATTTTCCTGACACATGTATATCTTTATCCAGATCGTATCCACCTCTGTTTACTCCATGTTTGTTAACGGAGAATGGTAATACCCTAATTTACACAAGAAAAATTCTTAGAAGGGTTTATTTATTGAATTGATAATTCCTTTCTGACTATTCACTAGTAATTTCTAGTTTTTTCCTCTATTTCGTTCTCTTTCTTATCCATCTTCAGGAAATAGCTAGGTGAATATATTTGCATATAACTTTTTCCTTTCCTATGTATGCTGGCTAAAACTGTAGGTCTCAAGGGTTATCAAACGTTCAGAAACAGATATGAGTATATATAAGAATAAACAACATAATAAAATATTTTAAAAATTCAGTGGGGGGAAGGATGAATTAACTTACAAATAGTATTGGAGAATCACTTGAAAAAACAACAGTTAACTCCCTTACTGCACAGAATATACCAAAAATTAATTTCAGATGGATTGAAGTTTTAAATATTAAAAATAAAACATGAAAATATTAAAATGTAAAGATTAAATTTTTATATAATCTTGGGGTGCAGGGGCATAGCTAACCATATATAAACATAAGTATTAAAGGGAGAAACCAAAGTAGAAAAAAAATGATTTGACCAAGCACACCAGTAGTGTGCTTGGTCATGGCAGAGCGGATAGGACCATATGTGATCTAGTTCTCAACATTAGTGGATTCAAGGAGGATTTTATAATAATTAAATCTGTTCTTCCTAAGTATAGTTGATGCAGAACAACAAGGAACATATAAACTGGTTTCAGGAAACATTTTGTATCATCTAGTAAAGACGTCTACCTCAGAAGATTACAAATTACATCTGAAGTCTTAGAGACATTCCCCAAGGAACTGCTGGGAGCACAAGGTGGTGTCCTTAGAGTGAGTTAGGAGAAGGCTTGCAATTTCACTGCCAGTCGCTTTGTGCATCTGGGAAGGCCCAATAATTGAGGAATCATTGCTGTCTCCTCCAGGGAGAGGAGCTTCCCTCCTCACAGATGGCTGAAGATCTTCATGAGTAACAAAGCTGAGAGCTCCCAATAAATCCTCATGTTTTAATGCAAATAAGAACATAGTAGGCAATATTTATATAATGTTTTAAATGTTTCATAGCACTTTTATACATGCTCATACTCTTTGAAAAATAGTATGGGTTGTGATGATAGATTTGGTTGAATTCTGGTTAACCTGTTGGCTGTGTGCTCCTGGGTAGGGTACTTAGCTTCTCAGGACATGTTTTCTCCTCTATAAAATGGTGATGGTGATGGTGCAAGGGTCAAAATGATACACACCTTATAGGATAAGGATTGAATGAGAGAAATATTTTAGTATAATGTTTCACACATAGGAGGCACTCAATTCCTTTTCCTTCTATAAAAGTGGTTATTTGCATCAGTGGACCTCAGTACTCCAGTTCCATCCAAATTGTTGCAAAAGGCCTTAATTCATCCTTCTTCATGGCTGATAGTGTTCCATAGTATACATGTACCACATTTTGTTAATCCACTCATGAATTGATGGACACTTGGGTTGATTCCACATCTTTGCAATTGTGAATTGTGCTGCAATAAATACTTGAGTTCAAGTGTCTTTTTGATAAAATGACTTCTTTTCTTTTGGGCAATAGTAGTAGGATTGCTGGATCAAGTGGTAGGTTTACTTTTAATTGTTTGGGGAATCTCCATACTCTTTTCCTTAGAGGTTGTACTAAGCCATAAAGTTCTTATTTAAAGTAATGTTTAGTGTTTGGGGTAAGGGATCTTTAAATTGAAAATATTAAGAATACCTCTTAGGTCAGACAATTAGATTTGAATTGAAGAGATAATATAGAGTTGAAGGTCAAAGTGACGGCTTTGAGAAAAGTTAGGCGATACTATCACCCGGGAGAGCTATGCCTTCCAGTAGACAAGGGGCTCCTGGAGTGATAACTACAGATCCCCCTTTCCAGGCTGCAGCTTAACTGCTTTGGCCCAGCAGACACCATCAGTAAACAAGCCTTCCTAGGGGACACCTATTTGACCCTCTTTCACAGAGCAAACTTCCAAGGGCTGCCTGGGTCCGCATCCTTATTTTGTCATCATTTTTAATGGAGTCCAAATGCACAGCAATGAAAAAAAATTCTGTGATTTTGTACTAAGATGCATGAGTAGTCTAAAGAAAAGGGTAAGATCATGGTGTATTTGACCACTCAGGGAGGGCTTCATGGAGAAAGAAGAATTTTTGTTGGACCTTATTGGTGGGTGAAATTTAAAGAAAAATGGGCGAGAGCAGAACTAATCTTCTGTTTCTGTGTCTCTGTTTACTTTTACTGATGACTTCCATATTGAAACTCCTGGGAATGAATCGTGTGAAAGAGGAAATAAGCCAGGATAGGAAGGAGCAAGTAGTTCAGGCACATGGTAAGACAGACAGTCTAAATTAGAGCAGCACGGTGGATATGTGGAGACTTCACCAGCTAGAGGAAGATTGGACACCGTAAGTTTCATCAGAGAACCAGAACACATGTCATATTCCATAGAGCAGAAGCCTTATTATGTAATAATGACCACAGTACACTCTTTTCTCCCAATTAACAATGCACAAGTTGAGATCACTGTGCACCTAAAACGAGTCTTCCATACAATCTGGGAAGAGCTGGTAGCCCATACTTCACCCTCAAGTTTGACTTGTTTGTTCCATCAAATGTGTTAATACTTCTGAAAATGCTGTGGCTCTTGGCATCTAAGTTTAAGCATCCCAAGATGTCTGTGGTGTACATCATATTCTGGTCCTTACAGTTGGGCTGATATGACTACATCTGTTATCTAATGCATCTGCTGTGTGCTTGTGGACAAGGCCAAATAATCAACCTGGCTGGGATCGTTCTGCTTTCATAGTTTGCTTTCTCAATTTGATGCAGTATTGGTCTCTTCTTGCAAAAGGCCTATTGGGACCATGCTGGAAAAGCAGGAGGGCAAAGTTGGTGTGTAAGTCCCTTGGGAATTTGTCCCTTGCCAATTACATTTTCTATAGATTACATCCCTCCTCCAGTTACTAGCGTGGCTTTGGAAAGTCATGTAACCTGCGGATAGCCAGTTACCCATACTTCACCCTGGGCCTCTGGGTCTATATTTGAAAAATTTAATAATTCCTCAGTAGTGAAAGTCAGAAGTTTGTCCATATATATATACATATATATACATATTTTCTCTCACATTTATCTTCCTCAAGACCATTGCCACCGCTATGTTCCCAGATGGAGGCATGCCAGGCTGGTATAAGCCTAGTGGAATTTTCTTAAGAAACTAGACCCAGCCACCCAGCCCATATTCACAAGCTCCCCTCATTCCCTCCCATGCAGTTACCCATTCACTCAACATTTATCAAAGGCCTGTTATGTGTTAGGTACTGATTTTTAGAACCTGTTCTATAGCCTTTTAATCCATCTTCCCTTTCACTTACTTTCTTTAACAAACCAGGCAGACAACAGTGTAGGAAATAGATATTTAATCATTCTCTCTAATGGTTAGAACTCCAAAATCAAGTTTTCCATAACAAAATGTAATACAGTCATGGTGGCTCCAAAATGCCAGGAAGGCAGTGGTCAACCCACAAAAAGCGTGGGAAGGGGGCCAGAAACAAAGCATTCTTTTCCATCAGAGCTTCATTCCTCAAGGCCTCATTTCAAAGGGTAATTGTCCCTGCTTTCAAAAGTCTCTGTGTGTTTTAAGGAAGGAACATGTTTGTTGCTTTAATTTGAATTTTGGCCAGGCAGGGTCTGGAGATCTAAATTTAGAGTGAGAGAACTTGAGATGGAACTCAGGTAGCTCTCTTACAGAACTTGGTTTGTAAGGTAGAGTGAAGGGAAGGGAACTTAGAAGCTCAGCAAGCTGAATATAATCCCATCAGGAATTTCCTTCAGGCCTGGTCAGCTCTGTTCTCTGAAAGATGTTACCCTGGTTGCCCAACAGAGTTCTGGCTCTCTGCACTGAGGCAGTAGCCAAAGAGACAGAATGCTTATTTGCCAATGCCTAGTTTTAGGGAGGAAACTGCCCTCTTTTCTAGATCCATTTCTACTTTAAATCAGGATTTCTTAACGTTGGTGCAGTTGACATTTGGGGATGGGTAATTCTTGGTTGTGGGGAGACATCCTATACGTTGTAGGAAGCTGAACATCCCTGGGCTCTATGCACTAGATGCCAGTAGCCCTGTCACCTGCTCACCCCACCCTCAATTTGCGACAATGAAAATTTTCTCCAGACGTTGCCAAATGTCTCCTGGGAGGTGGGGAAGCAGCATCGCCCCAGTTGAGTCCCGCTGTTCTAGATGATGTTGAAAGCTGAGGTCATAGCTGTCCATGTAGGACAGAAAGTAAAAGCCTCAAACCTTGGGATGACACAATGTCACATAGTCAAGGTGAGAGGTCCCTTCCCTGGACCATTCACAAATGAACATTATTTATAAAATCATTGTCACCAACTGCTTCGTGTATGCCAAAATTATGATCATTTTTCACGTCTTTGGCATTTTTCAGGTGGAAGGATAAGCTAAGGCACTTTTGGAAGCATCATAAGGAAAAGAGAATCATTTGAGCCATCACTAAAATGCAGCCACCCCTAAGTTGTGAAGCGGCAGCTGAATCAGCTTCTTACAGCATAAGTTTGTGGAATGTAAGATGTGGATATATTGCGACTGAAACTTTCCAAGGACTTCCTCAGAGCAACATTACAGAACGTGTAACTAAGGATTCAGTGACGAGGGACATACAGCATCCCACCCTCTCCCTCCCCGGGAGATTATAGGTAAGGGGAGGTCCCTGAGATCTAGGGATACGCTTGTCTCCAAATGCATTTTACTTAACAGTCTTAACATACTTCTCCAGTTCGGATGAATTATTTTCCCAACTTTTAATATATCTTTGAAGATAGACTTATCTTGTTCATGCTGGAGTCTTTTGTGGTTGATTTTGGCTTCTTTTTGTCCCTTGTTCTTGTTTGTCCACTTCAGACTCTAGACATGAATTCATTTTCCCCCAGAAATATAAAACTAGGTCATATCTGGTGGTGCAATAGTTCTGTAGATTCCTGGGATTCTGAAAATAACAGCAATAAGATACCATTAAAGCTATTCAGCAAACATTTATTGAGAACTAAGAGTGTCCCTGCCACTGTGTGAGTGTATCTCTTATTTTAAAATGGGCTTATTTTTCTGTATTTTGATGTTGGTCTATTGAGGCCACATGGTCCCATGGGGTGCTGGGGGGAAGGGAGATGGCTTGAATCTCTCCTTAAAGGAGTATCACCACAGTGACAGTCTTGGGGAAGAAACAGGTTCTCAGAGCAAATGGGCAAGGAGAGATGAAGTCTGGGCTGGCTCCTGAGTAGAGGTAGAAAGGTGACTTTTGCCTCAGTTTCCAACCAGGGAGTGTGTTTGACCTAAAGTATCATGATTAGTTATAATGTATGTCACAAAAAATGATCTATTCGTTTAGTTTTAAAAATCTACTTGCTTTAAGGTTATTCCTCGATGGTTCTAGGGAGAAAGAGGTGGAGCTGAGCTACCTGGGGATCTGTCCAAGACCCTGCGTGTACTGCATGAGAACGTCATCCATCACACAGAAGCCATGGCTTTTAAAGAAAAGGCTGCGGATTATTACTCTAAGGGAATACAAGGTAAAGATGAATCAGCTATACTATATAGGTCATATTACCTAGTTGTAGGTTGTTAAAAACTCATTTACAGTGTTGCGGGGAATCAAGGAAAGAAGAAAATGTTTCTTCTTCTATGAGTGAGATCCCCAAGGGACAGTTTCCTTAGGGAAATCTGTCTCTCCTGACAACTGTGGAGGATTGGAAATCATGGAAACTGGAGGGTTTCCTTACAGTGTACTTTGTACACTACACTGTAGTAAAGCTTGGAGACTGAGAGAAACAAAACAAGCAGAAAAACAGATCTTTGTCTGCCCCTGAGGATTTAACAATCTAGGCAAGGAATATTTGTGCCTTAGAGAGTATAAGATATAAATTATACATGCATGCCAAGAGGATGTAAAATACAAAGACCCTCAGGAAAGGGGGCTATAAGCTAGGAAGCATTTTCCTGAAATGGATAAAGGAAGTAGTGGGTCTGAATTGCCATGGAGTAGAGGAGATTTCCAGGAAGGGGCAGTGAGAGAGGGAGCAAGACGAGAGAGTAGTAGTAGGAAGCTGAGAGAAGGAAGAAGCTCAGGGAGAGAAACTGAGAAGACAGGGACTTTAATTTTGATACAGCAGTGCCCAGAGAGTCTCTTCGGCTTCTGGAGCAAAGGAATGCTGTGATGAAAATAGTGTTTGAACACTTTGATTCTGGCATCATGTTTCCTATCAGGTGAAGCAGGGAGAGGAAGGAGCAAGTACAGGGTTTTAGAACTAGTCTGGGTGTGAGATGACAAAGGCTAGATTAGGATCAATCTGAGAGACAACACAGGGGAAAATGCTGCCAGGGCTGGTAACAAATTGACATAAAGGACGGAGGGGAGGCAAAAGTAGCTCTAAGGCTGTGAGCCTGGAGGCTCGGTGGGGATGCCACTGAGTAACATGGGAGTGTTGACTGGATCTTCATGAGTCCAGCTTTATACACATTTCATATGCGGAAGCATATTCAGAAGCAAACGTCCTAATAATAATTGGAGCCAGAGGACTGAAGTGAGAAAGAGAAGTCTCAGTAGGAGGCCTAACTGCTGAGTCATCTGCCAGCTCTCCTGTCAAAACGGGCCTTGTCGGAGGGGTGCAGGGGAGGTCACTTATGTGAGTGATTATGTGTGTGTCATTATGCTTTATAAATAACAGTGAAATCCAGGGTAACCCTTCAGGGCTAAACATCTCTTTCTCTTCAATAAGATATTTTTGACTTCGTTGATGAGTCAGTAAATTAAAAGGTATTTGAATTTACAGAAATAGTTGAATTGTACAGAGTTGTTTTTCCTGTAAGTTTGTCAATGAGGTTTATGCTCTTTGTTAAGCTAACAAATGATTACCTTTTGCAATTCTAGCGGAAATGGTGTTAGAACTCTGGCATCCTTAAATGTTACTTTTTGTGGCTGATGCTGGAGGCTACTCGACTCTTGTTAGGAACCTACGCACACACAGAACCAATCTCCCATACCATGTGTGCTTCATCTCACCTGTTGGACCAATGACTTTGCATTTTTGTGTGTGACCAAGTCACATTATTTGAGCATCAGGTAAGGGGAGACAGGCAGGAGTACCCAGCTGATGACAAAGAAAGAAGAGGCACACACAGAAGCCTTTGAGTGCAGTAGCTGTATGTGACTCCGCCTTTTGATCTCAGAGTCTGTAAAGGTAGAGAAAAAAGTTCGGAGTCATATAGGAGAAACTAGATGTCTTCTTCATATGACTGATAAGCAAAGAAAATTACCCAAAAAACAGAAAAAGTTGTTCCTAATACAGGCATTTTTTTTTTTTTACCCCTTTCTCTACCTTTCTGTAACTGTCTTAAAAGCAGAGCTTTCCCTTTTTTCAAAGGAAGTTCCATTCTGTGGTCCATTCCAGTGAGCACTCAGCCAAATGAAAAACTATACCAGTAAAGAGATCATTATTGGTTACCAAATAAAAAGCAAGTTAAACAAACAGCCATGGCCAGTCCTTGGTTCCAGATCTATTTTTCCTCTAGGCAGTCACCTTTACAGGATCTGTGTCATTAGCTTTCATCATACAACTCAAGTGTTGAGGAAGCATTGTGCTCATTATGCAGTAGAGAAAGGTAGAAGTGAAGAAATGAAAATACTCTTCTTTTGGTTTATTTTCTCCCTAGACAATCCTATCTAATTTATTTCATTTCAGCTCTGTCACTTACTGGCTGTGTGACTTTAGGCAAGTTACTCAGTATGCTCCAGTTTCTTCACCTGTAAAATAGCACTACAATAACAGTAACCTACTTCATAGGATTCTTATAAGGATTAATGAGTAATACATGTAAAGCACTTAGAAAAGGACCTGACTCATAGTACGCACTCAGTATTAGCTATAAAACATCAATAGTAACCCCACTCAAACCTAGTAAGCACTACTATCATGCTGATCATTTCTAAATCTACTTCCTTAACTTAAACTCCGTCCTGAGTCCTAAATCTGGATTTCCAGTTCCTACTAGAGATGTCCGTTAAAAACATTATTCAGTAAATGTTTCTGAGCACCTACTGTTGGGGTTCAAAGGAGTCCAATAAATAACAACCTCTTCCTCTGCTTGGCTCTGGACCAATTAAAGGGAAGGACAAAAAGAGTAAGGCTATTGGAAGACCAAAATATCACCTTTATTGTTGAAAAATCTGGTGATAAGAAATGAGGCTTTGTAGGTAGGCAAGTGGGCTGCAGCCCGGACTTCCCCAGGACAGACAGAAGCAGACTGGGGCAGGCTTTCTCCTGCAAGCGCAGATTCCACCCCTGAAAAACTGATGGCTTGGAGGAGCAGAGCAGAACGTATACATACTCCTTAGAGTTAGCTAAAAAGAGAGGGGAAGAAAAGGAGCTGAGCTACTTGTCTAGCTTCTCATAATATACTCCGCATTCAGATAAATTTCTTCTCCTTTGGGGAAGAGTGAAAAAGGGAGGAAGAGAGAGACTAAAAAAGTTACATTGAAGGAAATATGTGGAGTAGAGATGTAGCATTTTTCCTCAAAACCTATCATGTGCTGGGTACTGTGCTAAGCATTGGGCAACTCTACCTGTGTGTACCAAGGGCATTTTATTTTATATATTTTTGAGGTAAGGGTCTCACTATGTTGCCCAGGCTGGTCTTGAACTCCTGGGCTCAAACGATCCTCCTGCCTCAGCCTCCCAAGTAGCTGGGATTATAGGTGTGAGCCACCATGCTCAGCACCATGGGCATTTTAAACTTATCTCTAAAACCCTCATGTTCTCCCCATACATGTTGCTCCTATGTTTTCATCGTTTGCTGGTAGCATTACCAATCTCCTAAGCATTCTGAGTAGAAATATCAAACCCATTCTGACTTGTTATTTCTCTTGACCTTCACATTTGCGTCACGAAGGCTTGTACATTATTTTGTTCAGGTAACTTTTGATTCTTTTCCTTTTCTTTCCCATTACCACTGCCCGGTTAATACCTTCATAATTTCTCCCCTGGATCATTAGCATAGGTCCAGGGGAGAACTTGGCTCCTGACTTCATGGCTTCCTATTCTATTAACATCAAAACCATTTTTTTCTCCTTTAAAACGCAGCTTGAACTCTACCTTATCTACTGATCCACGGCAGTCATAATTAGTAGCTCTTTCTCTTAAGTACCAAATCTACCCTGTGATTAACTTATGCTGTGATACTTGTGCTATTCATGTCAGTATCTCATGGGGTTTAAAAAAGTGCTCAGAACTTACTTGACACACAAGAAATACTTGTTACATGAATGGCCTAAATTAGAAGAATAGTTAGAAAACACAGGATATAAATCCCATGACCCCATTTAATCGTTTAAAAACATGCATGGAACACCAACTTTGTGCACGGCAAGAAGAAATTCTGTTATTTTTAAAATTGTGAGCTATTAAAAGTTGTATTTAGTCCTAATATTGACACTTGGAACACTTGTTTTGATGTAGCTAATAAACATGTAAGGAAAAAGGATCTGCTCCCTGAATTAAAGATGTGTTCAATGTCTGTGTTTTGTTCAATTATTGCCTCTGCTACTAGAAGACATTAGTTATACAGTTTGGAGCTTTTTATTGACATCTGAACTGAGACACTGTTGTCAGCACCTATTGTTTTAAATGACCAATGCTTCATTCTCTACTTCTCTTCTGGGAAGGCCTTCCATCAGATACTGCCCTGTTGGGCAGCTGACCCAAGTTGAGCCAGTCAAAGTCCTTCTTGGGAATGTAGAATGAGACTGTTGGGTCAGGTTCCATCTGGTCACTCTCTTAAGTGGAAGAGATTTTTAAATATAAGAGCTCCTGGCAACTACATTTTGCCATATAGACTAAAACAAGAGAGAGCAAAGAGAGAATAAAGGAGAAATTTAAAAGGAGAAAAAGAATTCAATTGGAATTTAAGTTCCTGGTTCCACCTGCTCCTCAGGTCAATTGTACTTCTTTCTTTGGTTCCATGAAACACTTCTAATAAATCCCCATTTTATTTTAGGTTTATTTGAGTTAGTTTTCTATTACAGGCAACTAAGAGAGTCCTAACCAGGATAGTTGCCAATTTGTTCCTCAAGACGGTGGAAGAGCTCTCTTGTATATATACTTTTTTTATTAGATACTTTAAAAAATTATAGTTTAAAAAACACAAAATTTATCATCTTAACCATTTTTAAATGTACAGTTCAGTAGTGCTAAGTATATTCACATTGTTGTAAAACAGATCTCTAGAATTTTTTCATTTTACAAATCTGAAACTCTATACCTATCAAGCAACAACCCCTTTCTCCTCCACCTCCTCCATCCCGATCCTGGTAACCACCATTCTATTTTCTGTTTCTGTAAATTTGACTACTTTAGATGCCACATGTAAGTAGAATCATACAGTATTTGTCTTTCTATGAATGGCTTATTTCACTTAGCATAATGTTCTGAAAGTTCATCCATGTTGTAGTATGTGATAGGATTTCCTTCAGGCTGAATAATACTGTATTGTGTGTTTATATCACATTTTGTTTATCCAGTTATCCATTGATGGACATTTTGAGTTGCTTCTACTTCTTGACTATTGTGAATAGTGTGCTATGAACATGGGTGTGCACATATCTCCTTTAGACTCTGCTTTGAATTCTTTTGGATATATCCCTCGAAGTGGGATTGCTAGATAATATGGTAGTTCTATTTTTAATTTTTTAAGGATCGTCTATACTGTATACTGTATAGCACTTGTACCGTTTCACAGTCCCACTAACAGTGCATGAGGGTCCCAATTTCTCCACATCCTCACCAACACTTGTTATTTTCTCCTTCTTCTTTTTTTTGTAATAGCCATCCTATGGGTGTTAGATGATAGCTCCTTGTGGTTTTGATTTGCATATATCTGATGATTAGGGATGTTGATAATCTTTTCATGTACTTTTTGGCCATTTATATATTATCTTTGAATAAATCTTTGTTCAAGTCCTTTGTCCATTTTTAAATTGGGTTATTTCAATTTTTTTTGTTGCTGAGTTGTAGGAATTCTTTATATATTCTGGATATTAATCCTTTATTAGATATATGATTTGCAAATATTTTCTCACATTCTATAGGTTATTGATATATATATATATACACACACACACACATAATTGTGTTATATTTTAAAATTGATAACAGCTGTACATATTTGGGGAGTTTATATATATAATTTTAAATTTAAAAATATAATCTGGTAAGAATAGGATTCATTCAGTTAAATTCAGCACTTACAATGTGTGAGATATTTTCTGCCTAGTTCTAGACTTGGTATAGATAGCAGTCTCCTGACATACTCCTTCACTATAGTCTGAATCCAATTTAGCCCCAGGAGAGATGGTCTTAGAAGTCATAAATCATGCCATGCATTTTCTTGATACTAGCTCAACCCTAGTTTTTGTATTCACTAAAATACTGCAGGGATACTAGAGTGCTGGGCCTTTGCAAACAGTTCTCAGCTAGGGTGCTGGGAGGCCAGTTCAATCTAGAGATTTCAGATTAATCCTGGGTCAATATTGGTGGGATCATGAGTCAGTCTTGTGAGGGATGACTAAGACTAAATCAGAGTCCATACCTTTAGTCTTCAGATTCAAAGCCTTCTCAAAGGCAGGCTAGAACCAAACCAGTTTTGAGGGGCTTAGGATATAATATACTAGCTGAATATATTAAAGATGTCAAATAATCATCACTTCTCTACTGTTACACCAAAGTAGTCCTACTGAATTAGAGCCTCAGAATCCTAAACTCTGCTCTTCAGACAATCAGTCAATGAGAAGGCACACAAAATGAAGCTTAAGTGCCATCTTTGACCTGTATGCCATATATATTGTTTTGTGTTAAACTTTCTCTTATGTAATGCAATCCCAACTGGAATTATGATCAGGGTCTTAGTGAAGAGGATTCTAGAGAGTTTTTCCTGTGGTACATAATGTATCTATTAAAAAAATTGGATTTCAATTTAGATTTTATTCTCTCCCCAATAAATCCATACAAAAAGTGTGGAGGAACCCACCTGTCACTTTGATATCCCCTGTGGCTTTGGCAATGTCATTTTCAATCATACAGGAATATGTGTTGTTGATTGTGACATTGTAGAGCATGGACACAACCTTCATGGTCACATTCTCAGAGTTCAACTCAAAGCTGGTGTTGGAGAATTCCGAGAAGTTGGCTCCCTGGTCAACTTGGGATGCCCAGATCACTGTGGGCTGGGGGAACCATCGGGGAGCCTCACACCGCAAGCTCTCCGAGCTGGCATTATAGTCCACATTCACCTCTGGCATGCTGAAGGCTGCAAGGTCAAACGTCAAAACGGGCACATGAGATGTCAAGGTCAGGCAGATAAGACAATGCCTTTGGAGTGCTAGGTCTTCAAAACACAGTCATTTCCACCATTGAAGTAATTCAGTACTTCCCCAAGAGTCTGTCTGTGTATGGCCTTTGTATTGTAGATGAAAATAATTATTTGCTAATAGTACTGCTATGCATCATAACCCTTTAGCCAATATCATAAACCCCAAGGACCTAAGTTCTAGGTATATTATTGTTACAACAGATAATTTTCTCCAAATAAGAGGGGCTCTAGTGATCATAAACAAGTTTATCCCTTAGGGAAACTGGGCATTTTCCAGGGACCTGTGAAACCATCAGGATTTTATTTATTTTTCTGCCTGGAGGATAAAGTTAAGGAGAGCAAGGAGAGGGAAACAAACAGCATTCACCTGTCACCCACAGAAATTCCACACACAAGCTTTGTCATCGTGGAGACTTGGAGTTTACTTGGGTGGAGACTGTCCAGCCCTAGTATCCAGGGATTTAAATAGGCATCTGTTTTCTTCTAAGATAATTCTCCTCACTGGGGAGGCAAATGCATATTGAAATTAATACTAGCTTCACCCTGTAACTAGGCAGAAAGACATTTGTGGGAAAATGTTAAGACCTGGACTTTTTACTAGGCCATAATGGCAAGATACAACTTATTGATTTATTTAGCATCTTCTTTTGCCCAGGACTGGGCTGGTGCTGAGTGCGTGGTGAAAGGAAAGCCTTTGCCTTGCTCTTAATGAGTCTGTCTTCTAGCAGGGGAGACAAGACCCACATGCTTGGAGTAGGCAGGGAATAAGCTCCTAGGAGATGATATGGGAAGCTAAGTTTACATGACAATGAGCCACCATTTACCGAGGGTGCATTCTGTGCCAGTGCTGTATTCCAGATATTGTTTCATTTGATCCTCACAATAATCCTAGGAATGTTATCATCCCGATTTTAAAAAATAAACTTTTAATTTTGGAATAATAGTACATGTACAGAAAAGTTGCAAACATAATACAGAGAGTTGCTATGCATTCCTGACCTGTTTCCCCTAACATTAACATTTAACCATGGTGCATTGGTCAAAACTGAGAAACCATCATTGGCACATTACTGTTAACTAAACTCCGGACTTTATTAGGATTTCTCCAGTTTTTCAGCTAATGTTCTTTTTCTGTTCCAGGATCCCATCCAGAATACCACAATGCTTTTAGTCATCATATCTCCTTGGGTTCTCCTAGTCAGTGACATTTTCTTAATCTTCCCATGTTTTTTATGACCTTGACACTATTGAGGAGTACTGGTCAGGTATTTTGAGGGATGCCCCTCTATTGGAATTTGTGTGATTTTTTTCTCATAATTAAACCGAAGTTATAGGTTTGGGAGAAGAAGACGACAGGAGGTAAAGTACCCTTCTTATCACATCATATCAGAAGGTACATGCTATCAACATGACTTATCATTAATGATGTTAACTGGCTGAAGCAGTGTTTGCCAGGTTTCTTTGGTGGCTGGACTTCATTGAGTCTAACACACCTGAGTGGGGTGGGGTGTGTAATTAAGCTGCACTTCCCGGAAGGGGAGAGATCTAAATGAATTATTCGAAATTTGTCTGTAAAGAAGATTTGTTTCATCTCCTTTAATATTCACGTAAGTATGGAGTCATGTGTATTTTTTTATACTTGGAGTTTTAATTCAATACTATATTATTTATCTTGTTGCTTAAATTATTCTAGCTTTGCCATTGGAAGCTCCTTCAGTTGGCTCCAGTGTCCCTTTGACCTGACCTCATTAATCCCCATTTTAAGATGAAGAAACTGAGGCTCAGAGATATTGCCTCGCTTGGGCCACTGTACTTACACAGGTCTGATTCTAGATCTCTGCTTTGGATAATTACGTATACATATTATGAGGTGTTTAAGAAAGGCCTGTGTAGACTAGGTTAGGCTAGGAGGGCTCAGTGTACTTTCTGTCTGTCCATCAAGGCTCTCTCAAATGCCCTTTTCTCCATGGGGGCTTTTCTATCCCTTCCCTCCTGTGCATTTGCATGTGATCTCTGTCTTCCTCTGAATCTCTGAGTCACTCTACTTATCTTTCTGTTAAAGCATTTGACGTGATTTATCAATTATTATAATCATTTGCATACTTGATCCCTGTACTGACCCTCAACTGTGTAAGATCTGCACTGTGAGCCCCGCAAGAGCAGGGGCGCTCATCTTTACATTCCTCACAGTACCTATCTGAGTCCTCGCAAATTCAGGAAATACATGCCAAATTGGGTTGGCAAGGAAGGATGGATTTCATTGAGGGGGAGAATTAATAAGTTTTTAGGACAATGTTTTTTTGGTTAGTTCCCTTTAAACTTCTCCTAAAATGGCCCCACTGCCGTGAGTCTCTAGAGAAATTGATTTCAGACTTGGGCGTGGGCCTTCTTGGCATAGAAACATCCCAGGCCAGCTTTTAGGCTTCTTTCAGTAGCCGTATTAGGAGCTATACCATAAAAGAAACTACATTTATTTTAGGGGATATACCTGGAAATTCAGAAGTGTCAAGAGCCCAGAACAAAAGATTTTAAGACCTGTATTATAGTCAGCTACTGTGGGGCTTGGTGTGGATTTCGGGCAAAAAATACCAAGGATTGCTGCTAGCGGAATTGAGAGGGTCTTTGTCTGATATTGGTCATTCATGAGCACGACATGATATTTCATCATAACCTTTATCATAACTCATAACTTATAAAAGTCATAACCTTTAACTTCAAATATCTTTGGGTGCTTTTTTTCCCTCTCTCCAAAAGTAACTCACCTCCAGTTTTATACTCAAGGTTAGCATTCCCCTTGCCTTTAGAAGTGATAATGTGACATTTGTAGGTGCCAGCATCCGCGAGTTTCACGTTTTTCAGCCTCAGAGAGGCATTGCCAACTATCACTTGATCAGCAAACACTGCTGTCCGGCCTCTGAACATTTCGTCCTGGTCCGACAGGTCATCTTTGCCTTCTTTAAACTCGTGGACCAAGCCCATGACACCTTCCTTCAGCCATTGTATCACGATATCAGAAAGTTTGATGTCAGGTTCAAAAGTGCAGCTCAGGATTCCATCCTCCCCAATGTTCCCAGCTGAGGTGAGAGTGGTGACTCCGATGGAGTGTGTCCCTGCAATCCGGGAAGCAAGGATCAATGCCTAGGGAAGTGACGGAACTTTCACAACCAAGCCCTTCATTACTGAAAGCCAAACAGAGAATCCTGTGATAAATTAGAAATACAGAAGAACTGGAGAGGCATGTAAAAAAAAAAGAAGAAAAGGATAGAGAGAGCAGGAAGACAATCATTTTGATATCTACAGCAGATCTGCCATATACAACAGCTTCTGTAAGACCAAGTAACCCAAACCTTGAGGGGCAGCAAGAGGAAAACATCAGACTTGGTGTTTAAAGATGAGATTTCAAGTCTTGGCTTTGTCATTTAATAGCTGTGTGACCTTCAGTAAGTCATGTAACCTCTCTGGATCTCAGAAAAATGGGAGTAACAAATATCTGTCTTACCTACCTTAAGGGGCTTTTGTGAGGATCAAATCAAATTGATGTGAGCTTGATTTGCAAACTATAATTACACATATAAGGTGTTGTTATTCTTAGTTAACCAGAAGTGTCAGAGAAGTGAAACCTCATGTTAACTAAATGTGGCTAGTCATTCTGAAGAACACTAAATTCTAAAGTGCTGTTACTTTTATCTCCATTTGAATGATGAAGAAACTAAGACATAGAGAAGATACGTGACTTGGTCAAGGTTACAGCGCTAGCTATGGCATGATGAAGAGTGGTACTTAATTCAGTTACTTTTGATCTAAGATAAAAGCTGTCCCCGCCTCTCTGAACATACCGCCAGTGGAAATACTAATAATGGTGCCAGGTGTGTCCAACTGCCTCTTCCCCACTTGCCCAGCCGATAGCCCACCCAGTCAGGGAAGGATCAACCAGCTGTTCTTCGTGCACTGGAGGCCACTGACTGAGGAAACCTGTGGGGGTGATTTAATTAACTGAATTTTCTTGAGAGGCTCTTTCTGCGGTTTGGATGTGAAACTAAGGAGAGGATGGCCTTGGAGCCCAAGAGGAGAGTGGAGCAGACACAAAGTGTAGGGGAGAGACCATGGGAGAGAGGGATAGAGAGAGTCCTCTATTCCAGAGCTGTCTTGGATCCTGAGGGTGTTGAGGTCTAGTTCCTGTTTTAATCTCTGCATATTCTATAAACAAACACCTTATATTAAAATGGCCTGCACACGCCTTTCTTTCTAACAGCCAAAAAAGCGCAACATGGTGGGTCCTGACCACTTCTCAACCAGACTTTTCATCTTCCTTGTTGGTATTCCTGCCTTTCATCTTTGCCTCCATCCAATTCATTTTACATGCATTAATCTTACAGGTAGACTTCTTAAAGTCACTCTGAACATGGCTGTTTTCTAATCACTAATCATCCATGGCTCCTAAGGGCTGTGGAATGAATTTCAGATTTTCCAGCATAGTCTTCAAAGCCAAACCCTGCCCGGCACATAGTAAATGCTCCATAGATATTACCTCTTATTGCTGTCTTTGCAGCCTCCTTACTTTGTCCTTTCATAGTCAATTCTGTCTATCTGTAGCAAATGATTTGTTATTTTCTGCCTTCAGTAAAAAATACATAAACAAAGCATACATGTGTCTTTTTCCCCCAAATGTAAGAGGGAAACATTGCGAACACAGGGATATCATTGACTCTTCTCTTCTTTCAGCCCATTAGGGGTTGGAATTGTTTAATTGACTCCCAGGCCTTTATAAAGTAGATGAGGGTAATGAACCAGAGACAGAACTGGAGAAGCTAAGCTAGATGAATCTACAGTAGAAAGAACAGAGAGCTACTGATGGAAGAAAAAAATATAGCTAGAAAACGAGACAGAGGAAACAAAAACAAGTACGTGGCCTGGGTTGGGAGGCTGTTTTGGAGGCTTGAGAGCACTGGAGAAGAGAGACTTTGGGAGCAGCTGCTATGCATGGCCATTCATGTGAGAGATTTGGGAGAAAAATTATGCAAGAGGATAACATGAAGATTTTTCTGTGTAATATGAATGCAATGCACCTCCACACCCTGCCTTGGCATTTTCTTGAGCACCACTTTAATGATTCAGGTTTTTTCCAATTGTTTTTACTTCACAGACTGATATCCAAGGCAGCCCAGGCTAGCACAATTACACTATGCACCTTCACATCCCTGCTCATCTTGCAACTACAATTCATAGTTTCCACCTCTCCTTTGTCACCAGTCATCCAAATTCTACTTACATTCAAGTCTGTTCAGATGGCAGCCCTCCCGTGGAAACTTCTTTGAATCCACCAAGGCAAAATTTGTAGATTCTCTCTTTTCTGTCCCTTAACATTTTCTTTTACCTTTCTTACAGCAGCTATCTCCCTCTACCGGTTTCTCGTCTATCTCTGGCACTATTTTGTAAGCTTTTCAAGGGCTTACTTGTCTTAATCATATCCATAAGTTCCTATAGTCCCTAGTGCTTTGTTTCTACAGAGAAAAATAATATTTACTGCGTGCATGAATAACTGAATGAATTAATGGAAATAGTAGAAATCAAAGCATAGTTTGAGATGATCTAAAATGATTGCAGGAGTAAGGTGGCAGGATTACCACATCTAAATTTTGGGGAAATGTGAGCCAGTGGGGGAAAAAAGGTAATAAAAATACGCAGAGACTCTCAATAAAATCATGGATGAAATGTAAGTATGTTAGAGCAAGGGTAAATTTGATGGTTGTTGATAAAATGCCATGAAAGTTGAATTGAAAAATTACTTTTCAGAAAAAAAATACATGATTAGCATAGTTTATGGAGAGGCTGAAATGGTAATGACACATCTTAGTTCAGTAATTGTATTACTGAATTAATTTGAATGTGTTGGCCTTGAGCCCACAGGTAGGGAATCAGTTGAAATGTTTCCTAGAGAACTTAATGATTAAAAGTAGGCAGCTGTGGAGCACCCCAGGGACCTGCTGCAGGTTCCAGTCATTTCAGGTTGCATTAATGATGTGGCAGAAGGAATGACTGTAATGTCAATTAAATCCCCCCGTATCAAATAAAGAGGAGGAATAAAAGCCAGTGAGAACTTAAAAAGCGACGACTACCTAGCCATTGCTTTGCACCTAGAAAGCAGTCAATAAATATTTGTTTGTTAAGTGAGTAAATGATAGCTAAAAGCAATAAAATAAAATTTAATTTGCAAGCAACAGCATGTAAATATTAGTTCTTACAAAAAGGAGTCTATGTTCGAACTTGAAAACGAACGTTGGCTCAAGTAGCAGTATGCAGTCTGACCTGATATGACTCGCCAGGCCTAACGACCACCAGAGATTCTTGTGTTAACTTCGTGAACTAAAGGATAAAAGGGCCCCATGGAATGGGTCAGAAGCTGCTTTCTATTGATATAGAATTCTGTTCAATAGGCACAGATTTTAAGTATTTCACTGGCTTCTAAGATTTCATCAAACCCCTTTAAAATTGGAAGCCCCAGCCACTTACTGAAAATGAATTATCCAGCTTGTGAGGGCTAATTACTACCACAGCTCCAGTCTGCACGAAGAAAGGTAGGCCGTCAAATTGGAGCAATTGAAATCCGAGCAGCTCTGTGTTCACCCAGGGTAAGTACTATTCAGTTGGTCCTCAGTTGTAGGAGCAGGAATATATTGGAGAATGGGGGTACAGGCAATACAAAGCAAGGATTCTTTACAGAAATTAGGATTCTGGGACACCCTACAGCACTGGATTAAACCTGAAAAATAAATTTTCCTTTGACATGAGTTAGTAAGACAAATTCTGAACATTCTAATACGATAGGGAACATACGAGAAGTCTTCAGCTGATGGTCAGTCAGCATTTGCTAAAACCCAGCTGCCCAGATAGGCACCACAGCACATAGCTTAAAGGTGGAAATACAAGATTGAAGCCTACACCAGTGGAGCTTGGGGTCACACCTGTGAGTGCCACACTTGCCAAACAGAAGTGTGGGGTAGGGAGTAGCAGTAGCTCCTGTGAGAAGAAATCAGACAGGCTACTAGGCCAGGGCAGAAAAGGGAAGCAATAGAGTATGGCGTTTGAGAGCATGGCACAGGCATCAGGCTGTCTGGGTTCAAGTCCCAGCTCTGCCATTATTAGGTATGTGAACTTGGGCAAGTTTTCTAAACTTTTTATTACATAATTTTTTTTATCTGTAACATGAGAATGCTCCCTCTGAGGGTCTCTAAAAGGACTAAATGACACAATGCAGCTGATGTGCTCAATATAGTATCTGACTTGCCACATGCTAAATCTTAAATTGATATCTATTATATCAATTATATGATATACTAGAATCATTTCAGTAGATTGCAGATCAGAGTCCCAGGAGGTAGAGAAAGAATATTTTACTAAATGCTTACTTACAGTGACTCATTTTGAGCCAAGAGAGGTAAGAATGACCATTGCATCCACTTTATGAATGAGGATAAAGAGGCTCCATGAGGTTAAATGGCTTACCTAATGCCCTGTTTTAGAGCATTAGCAGTGGAGCCAGGATCACACCCAACTTGTCTGGCACTGGGCTCTGCTCTTTCTACCACATTTTGCTGTTCATTTGTTTGTTCATACTCAGGGCCAGATTGAGACATGTAGAGAGCCAACCCACTAAAACGATATCCCTGCTTCACTTAAAAATAAAAATGATTAAAAACCATAAAATAAGGCCAAAAAAGGTTTGATTATTTTTTCAGATGACTACAACTTTTTTTGAAATAGCAAATACTTTCCAAACAATTTGTGCAATGCTCCTGTTTTGGTGCCATGAGCACATACCTGGTTGGCTCACCCAGTGTCTGAAGATGGGGCATTATTAGGAGGCTGTGTCCTCTTAGTAATTGGCTTCCTCCCCTGACCTCCCTAACTTCAGAGGAGACCTGTCCTGCTATGACCAGGAAATTGCGCAGTTCCTAGGAGCTGCTATATGAATGCATTCATAATAGCAAATTTTTATTAATAGCATTGATGTGATCAATATAAATAACAATAGCAGCCATTTATCACACACGTATCGGGTACTTTTTTCTCATTTAATTTTCACTATGACCCCCTGACATCATTAAGAGAGTGAAAAATCAAGTCATAGAGTAGAAGAGATTCAACAATACATATAACCAATTTACATCCAGAATATATAAAGAATCGCCTAGAAATCAAAAAGAAAAAGATAAATAACCCAATATAAAAGTGGACGAAAGACAAAATATATATGTTTGATGATAAAGAAAGTGGGGAAGGGTGTGAATGTCATTTCTAGGCAAACACATCTACAGCAAGTTTTCTTAGCTTAGGGTTTGTGACTGTTGAGTGGCAGCACACCCACACTGGAGGGGCGTGATGGAGAGGCAGCTGGAACTACAGAACTTACGAAGTGACGTCTTTGGTCACGGACTGAGTTAAAGACATTGGCATGAGTTAGGTGGTTTATGGGAAAAAAGCAATTTGCCTCAGAGAAGACAGTTGCTGGCCTCAACTCACTCATTGCCATAATTAAAGTGACATCCATAACAGATGCCTCAGAGAAACAATCTACGTGAAAGAGGAAAGAGAAAGCTCTTCCTGAAACTGACATCAGTTAGCTGCATTTGGAAACTAACCATCCACACCCCAATGGCATCTGTTTCCCACGTAGTACAGTAGTCATGACTAGTTTTCTCTTTATTTAAGACCCCTGCGTACAAAGACTTGATATTCTTTAACACTTCAGCTGAAGCTTCATTGCAAAGAAATCATCTCTTTAGGTCAACCATGGATAGAATGGCTCAGACGCGGCACTCTACCTGTGATCCCAGAATGACATCTTCAGCACGGACTGGTAGATGGACTACTGATAAACATCTCCTTTGATTCTCTCAACTAGCTTCTGAGGTGGACATTATTTCTCCACTCTAAGAATGAGGAAACTGAGGCCCAAGGAGTTAAATGACTAATGTGAAGAGCACACAGTAAGTAGAAGAATGAGTGCTCAACTCTAAAGTTTTCTTAGTGCAAGCCCCATGCTCTTTCCATGGTACCACGCAAAGTGATTAGGGATAATGGTGAGGGGTGAATGGATCGTAGTAACGCAAGAAATCACATACCTGAAATACCAAAGCCAATGATGAATGCGATTGCTCCAGCCAAAATAATGATGATGCTAATAATGCTACGGAAAGAGAGAGAGAGAGAGAGAGAGAGAAACAGGAAATTACTTCTTCATTCCATTTGACCTGGGTACACATCTGTCATGGATAAGGTGTGCTACATAAGGCATCACAACTTTTTCTTCCATAGAAGCTCCCTCCTAGAAATAGGACCTTAGAGAGGTATCTCAGTGATTCTATCCCCATCCCACTGGGACTCCAGGGTAGATTAAAGGAGTGGCCTTTTTATATGCCTGTGTCCTCTTACTTTCCTATTTCCAGGTCAGGGAAGACTGTTGGGGCAAGATTGATGAAAACATCTCTATAATGCTGGGTGCTACCTGAGGGCAACTGGTCCCATACTCAGCCTACCCTGAGCACTGCTGTCTACCCTTTTCTATCATTTGTCTGCCTGTCTTGTCTCTTTCCACAGATTTTAAACTCCACTAAGGACAACGGTCATGTCTTCTTCACTTTGTACCCACTCACACCTAGTCCACTGCACCCCATTGGTCCTCAGTGAGAGTTTTTCTCTTATGAAAAATAATACATATTTACTGCAGAAAGTTTAGAAAATCTAAAGAAGCAAAAATAGGACAATGAAATCACCTGTAATTCTATCATCCAAACACAATCACTGTTAACTTTTTGATATGTACCCTGCCAGTTTTTAATTATTAATAACAGATTAACAAATGATACTTGGGAAATAAACAAATGAGGAAGTATTGCTTATATCTACTAAGTACCAGAATTGTGTGGCAGACATGTCATTCCAAGCAGCATTTGTATTATATCATTTATCCATTCAATAACCTTAGGAGAAGAACAAATTTATTATCTCCATTTTATAGATAAGGAAGTGACGTGGGGAGATTAAGCATCTTCCCTAAAGTTACACAGTTGACAAGTGGCAGAGCTGAGATTAGAATCTGCCTGTTGAATCTCCACTCAACTACCTCCTATACTGCTTCCCAAGGGTAGGGGCTCAAAGATGGGGCGCATCCCTCCTCTCTGCCTGGGGGGACCCATGCTGCATGAGGAGACACGAGCTTTAGCTGGTGAGAGTGACTCAGGCAGAGCAGAGGTACAGGTCAAAGCGGTTCTTGGGAAGCCTGCCCAGTGCTGCCTACATCATCAAGCAGGCGTCCTCAGCCACCCTCTCACACTGCTGCCAGTTCACATGTTCCCCACGCCCACACTGATGTTACTCAATAGGTAGGACAAAGGAAAGACACAAGGAGGCAAAGAACGATGCTATAGAGAGAAAAAGGAAGCGTGAGACATTTCGCTTTCTGCCCTGAATAGGCTCATTGTACCTAGCTCCCCTTGGCTGGGGTGGGCCTGCCAGACAGAAACAACAGACTGACAAGAAACAACTTAAGTAAACAGTTCTTCTGGAGGTCAAGCCCTCATGAGGTGCAGCCATGGGGGCAGCAAGTGAAACTTTTATCATAATAACAGGGCATCTGCTAAATTGATTCCAAGAGAAGACCACATCTGACCACTTCCCCTCTCTGTGCAGCCTCAGTTCTTACTGGTCCAAGTGTGTGAGAACAGCTAGACGAATGCATGGTGAGAGACACCATCTGGCTCTGACTACTCAGCCAGACAGCCGACTTGCATTTGTGACCCTGGGTTTTCACTTACTTTGGGTAAATTACTTCATCTCTCTGAGACTCAGTTCCTTTATCTGTAAAACAGGAATAAGAGTAATTTCTGCTTTGCCTACTAAAAGGTATTATGGGTTGCATGTGTCCCCCACCCAGAAGTCATACGTTGAAGTCATAACCCCCAGTACCTCAGAATGTGAATTTACTAGTAGAAATAGGGTCATCGCAGATGTAATTAGTTAAAAAGTCATGCTGGAGTAGGGTGGAGGTGGGCCCCTAATCCACTATGACTGGTGTTCTTATAAAAAGGGGAAATTTGGACACACACAAACACATACACACAAACACAAAACAGGGAGAACACCGAAGATTGTCAGCAAACCACTAGAAGTTAGGAGAGAGGGATGGAACAGATTCTTTTTCGCAACTCTCAGAAGGAACCAACCCTGCAGGCATGTTGATCTTGAATTTCCAGCCTCCAGAACTGTGAGAAATAAATTTCCATTGTTTAAGCCGCCCAGTTCGTGGTACTTTGTTACAACAGCTCTAGCAAACGAATACAAAAGCGTCATTTTAGGGTCAAATTAGACAGTTAATGTGGCATAATTCATAAAGGGCTATTCATGTATTACTTTTTACTATAAATAAATTTTACCGGTAAGCTATTTGCTGTGAGTTCATTGCTAAAAGTTATAACTTTTAAGGAGTGGGGGTGCTGGACAGCAAAGACACTGAACAGATACCTGGACACTCACCAAAAGGAGGGGACAACAGAGGTTGTGTGTTTCAGTCAAAGCAGCCGAGCCCCTCCGCACCCCCAGGCCCACATGTTGTCCTTGCTGTGAAAGCAGAACCTGCCATCTGTCACCAAGTTCCCTATCCAAGCAGGAATCACCTTGAGGTTTGTTCTGAACTAGCATTCCCTTGAGAAACAACTCAACCTCCAGAGCCTTGGAAAGAGAAGCAGGAACAATAAGAGCAGCCAAATTAAATAATTCCTGTCTGTTGCTTATTAATTTCTTAAAAAGATGAATAAAATATTTCACATAAGGTGTTCTTCTTACATGGCTCTCTGGTCTTTATTCCGAGAGTAATTTCCAATGACTATGCTACAGGAAATTTTTAACGCAAAACTACGTCCTCTAACCACTGCGTTGGAATTCACAGTGCACATTTGTTACAGACTCCTTACAAAAGGGTCCAAATAAAAATCAATGTTTTTGGAAGACTTGTTCACTTAGTAAACATTTATTAAGTACTTAACTATGTGAAAGGCATGGGGCTAGGCAATATGAAGGAAATATAAAGATGAAGAAAACAAAGTCCCTGCCCTTAAGGAGCTTATAGTTAAATTAAGATAAAACATATAGACACGCACGGCCCTATTGTATGTAACAATACAATGCAGAGTGTGATCAGGGCTTCAGTAAAGAGAGGAACAAATTCTCACAGGAATTCTAGGGAGGTAGAAAGTATTCAAACCTAGGGAAACAGGGAAAATCCAACTGCATTTCCATGAAAAAATTTCAAAGAAAGTGAAGAGAAAGACGTTATTCGGAAGTATATTTAGTTAATCTATGCTGCTACACACTCTCTGTCCAAGGGAGAAACACAAGGAAGAGTTGTTATTTCTGCTGCACTGGGGGAGATCTGTGGGAGGTCGGGGTCACATTTTAGTACTCTGGGCTGGGAGGAGCTTTCAGAGGCTGCAGAATTCACAGCCTCCCAGGTGAGCGACCAGCTTTGTAGCCTGGAATTCTGCCAAACACATCCACCCTACCTGAGGATGGCCGTGTTCAGTTCCTTCACATGTCTTTGCTGCTGCCGTCTTAGGCAGCACTTGAAAGAAATTAGGCATTTGTTAAAACATGTTATGTGTATTCCTGAAAAACCTCACACATTCTACAAAATCACACAATAAAGGTAACAGGGCTTGTAGGGAAAAAATAGGGTTAAAGGCAGACCACTCAACACCTATGTGACTTTATAATTGGTCTACTAACAGAAGCAATAATTGGTGCATGGGGAGATAACTTGGATAGCTAAGGCAGGCAGCTCAGTAGGACCAGAAGCTGCTTCTGGGAATATTAAAAATGCACAAATATAATAAAATAAACTTGCTGGCTTGTGGGTGTTGCGAGCCAGTGGGGTTGCTGTGAAGGTGGGCAGAGGGGAAGTGCAACCTAGGACACGAAAGGCCAGGATGTGCTTCTGTGGAGAGGAAGCCCAAAGAATAGGTGTTCATTCATTCAAAAATTTTAAAAAAATGAAATGCAAATAGAGCTGAAAGCCATGCTGAGCCTTTCCCACTGAAGTTGTCATTCTATGCTATTTCAGCTCTACTTGACTTGAGAAAAATGCATACATGTGAACCGACACAACTTCCATGTTGTACTGCCATCATTTCTCTATTTTCTAACCACACATGAGCTAATTAGTGCTGCATATTGCAGTGGATAGACTGTATTACTACAGTACACATCAAGAAATAAACTAGGATAGAAACACCTGTCTCTTAAGGACAAACTTTGATTGTGTCAGAGGTCCATGAGGGTGGTAAAACAATAGCTAATGCTCATCGGGTGTGCTCTGTGTGCCAGTGCTCTACGTGCAGCATCTCGTTCAATCCTTACAACAACCCTAGGAGATAAGTACCACTATCATTGCCTTTGTACATGTGGGGAAGCTGTGGCTTAGGTTAAGTAACAGATGAAGCTCTCCAGCTAGGAAGTGGGAAGGTCAGGTTTTAAATCCAGGGAGTATGACTTATGAACTTGAGCTCTTAGCTATGAGCTGTACTTCTAGAAAGGCCCCTATATGGCAGTAGGCCACAAGTTCAGAAGGCTCCTCTAACCTCCACCCTGCATATTTCCTCTAGCTCCTTTTCTGAAAACAAGGGCTCTCTGGATCTGCTATACGGTATGTAGAGCCCTCAGTCTGGAAAACATAAAATGCTCTTTGTTTTATTCCAACATGAATGGTTTCTATGTTCTCAAGTTTCTGCCTGCTTCTCAAACACTGACAGAACTGAGAGATACCACATTCCTTATAGATTATTAGTTTAGCTCCACTTGTGTAATTAATAAATGTTTAAAACTCTGAAAACTAGATTAAGTTAGCCAATGTGTGATTAATCTGAATATACCAAGTAGAATATTTGAGTAAATCAAGTTGCAGCAAACATATTACTTTGTTTATAAACTAACAAAGTGACTAGGTTTATAAAGAATGCTGAAATTGAAGACATTTATTTCAGCATATCCAAAAATGTTCTCTTTTCCCCCTCCGTAAAAGGGGAAAAGGAATTATTTTAAAACATTATGTGGAACAAAGCATTGGGCTTTAAGGTAAAATTATCTATTTCCTAGATATTGATTAGTATGGGTTTCAGGTTTCCAAGACACTTAGAT